TACTTATCTGTTAATCTCAATTCCCTGGAACAGAACTACACCCGGCTAAGCATTATTGCCTCTGGCGAATCAGGGCTAGGACAGCCCTAAAGTCAACACGTGAAATGGCGATGGCGGTGGCGGTGGCTTGTGGCTTGTGGGGGAATGACAATATGGGGCTTCATAAAGATGAGCGTTTTATGCATCCTTAACTTACACTCTATTTTAATTGCCAAGAGATCCTGAGCGGAGAGGCGCAGTCGCCACACTTGGTCCCAGTACCGGTCCCGATCCCGATCCCGGTCCCACACTCTCTCTCTTGCCACCGATCTCATGTGCAATTAAACAGTCCGGCGCATCCAGTGCCGGGCAGGGCAGGGCAGTGCAGGGCGAGTGCAGAGTGCAGGCAAAAGCAAATTTACGTCCGCTGTCAAAAGGCAGCGACGTAGCGTATTTAATATTTTTCAGCGTGTTTTACCTTTTCATGTTGTGTCATCATCAGCATCCAGGCCTCAGTCTCTCAGTCCTCAGTATCTCAGTCCTCAGTCTCTCAGCCTCTCAGTCTCTCACTCCTCAGCCTCTGAGTGAGCGTCAGCTCGCGTTTTGCACTGAAAAAGATACAGATACAGGCACCAATACAGTCAGTCGCATGGGATACACTTACGATCCTGTTCCTGCCTCACCACCTGAGTGTGCGGCGAGATGAGGTGGATAGAGGTGGATCGGGCACAAATTTGTACGCTCAACTACAAACTAAAAAGTCTTCAAGTCTTAAAAGCATTTGCAGAAAAAGGCGAAGGCACAAAAGTAAACACAATAAAGGCATAAAAATTGCGAGTGAACAAAACAAATAAAAATCGAGAGAAATAACAAGTAGAGGAATGCTGCCTGCAGTCTCCATGTTGCGACTATAAAATGCCCATTAAAACAAGTTTCCAATAGTAATGCTGAGTAGTTAGTAGTCTTTTTTCCATTCTTGTTAGCATTTATATCGAACAATCGAACTAAAATTAAAATTCTACATATTACAGGATGCCATTCAGATTTCTATATATTGGTCAATATTTGTGGATATCACAGGGTTGCCTTTATTATTTATTCAAAATGAATTTAGGTTGGTCAGTTTATAAGTTCCAATATCTATCGGAGTCCAATATCTTAATAATTATGGATATTGCTAAGATTTCTTGAGCGTCCATAAATGTAGGACCAAATCATTACTCTTTATTATTCGAACAGTAACTAGTATGTTATTATAATATTATTATATATTTATCTAATAGTGCCAATAGCTGTAAGGTTATCGGAAATTCGCACACTGATGCTATTCAAGTGTCAGTGCTTAGAGGGCAGAGGTTAAGTGTTCCATCATACCCATCGCACCCTCCCAGTACGGGGTACAAAAAGGAGTCGCGAAACAAAATGCTGAACGCTCGGACTGAGGGGGGTTGATCTTCAGGGGGAAGCGCGGTCTGGCTGGAGTATGTTGTTTTGTATCTGTGCTGCTCATTTGCACTTGGAATACAAAAGATACATTTTCGTAAGACCATTTTGACATGACAAGATAACGACAAGCAATCCGACCGAGCGGACTCACCCAAAGCCCCGAGAGGTACGAAGAGTGGACGTGGACCCAACTGTTGACAGTGGGGGAGGGGTAAGAGTATGTAGAGGGGCATACCCTGTACCCGCTCATTGGCTCCTGGCTCCTCTCCTCTTCTGTCCGCTCCTGTCCTGTCCTCTCCTGTCCTGTTCCACGACCTTTGCCTGAGTGTTTCGTATTTTAATTTTCATTACGGCCACCTTACGGCCGTCCCTGCCCTGCCTCTCCACGCAGCTTCTCTCTGGTCGGTCGGTCCCCCCTCCCTCTGGCGTTCCATTAAAGGTTCTTGAGAAGCTGCGCCAGCGACGACGACGACGTCAACGCAGGCAGCGCAAAAGTGAGTATTTCCAAGAAATTGCAAATTATTTTTGAGCCGAGCGCCTGCGCCTGCTTCTCAGCCACAACCTCAGCCCGGAGCCCGAAGCCGAAGCTGAAGCTGAAGCTCAATCTCAAGCGAACCTGGACTGGACTCTCTCTGCCCGTGCTGCCTCCCCAGTGCTCATCACATGACTATCCTATCCCGACGCAGGAGACGCAGCACAAGCAAAAGCAAAAGCAGAAGCAGTCGATGCCGCAGCCGCCGCCAAAATGAGTTAGCATCCCAATCCCCCGACTGGCTTCGTTGTCTGCCTCGGAGTGCTACCTCGCAATAGTATAGAAGAGGTGTATATTGGGTTCGTGTAGAGTATGCCACAGGCAGCATAAAGTAGATCAGGCATCGGGAATCTATTTGTGGGTTAGAAACCACTTCGAGCACTATGAGAATTAAATGCAGAAGAACTATCATTTATTGAGAAAAATATGTGGTACACATTACCAAGGATATTAAGCTCTTATTCGGTAGAGTCATTTATGCAGCTATTATCTACAAGTATACCCAGAATCAGCAAGATCTGATAAACACCTTTAGTCGAATTAATATACATAAATATCTACCAAAAACGGAACCTGTCATCGAATTTTTACAGGCAAATTTTCATTTATTTCTCTTATTCCCAGAATTACCAATTAAAAAATACATTAGATCACTGGGTATCCCCACTGGGTATCCCAAAAATATCTATAGAGATCACAGTGCCTGTATCTGTACCTCTCTCTGTAGATGTGTGTGTGTGTATGTACTCCGACCGAAACAAATGCCCAGATACTTTTGCCCATTGACACTCTCTGAGCTCCTCTGGCCTCTTTATGCTGCTGTTGCTGCTGCTGCTGCTGCTGCTGCTCTTCAGAGCGTCTGTCTGTCCAGCGTCGCCGGCCATCGGCCATCAAGTGCCCCAACATTGGTACCGGCCCGGGACCACTGCCCGCGTCGCTCCTTCCATAAAGTCGTGTTTATGCCTTCTCATAAACATTTTTATTTTAATGATTTTTATTATTGCGCACATTCGTTACTTTTTATACAGCCACGGCGAAGAGAGGATCACTTCGTAGCACCGCGTATCGAATTTGATTCTGCCGCCGTGTCCCCACAATTGTGTCCTGATCTTTGCCGGTTGCCCCGTGTTGAAGTGCCACTTCTACATAAATATACATATGTATCCTCTACCTGTTGCCGGTTTCTGTATAAAGGTATATACTATATAAATTTATATGTTTACTTATCCCTGAGCACTATATCCCTACAAGTAATGCATGGGAATAATATTTCAAGGATTTCAAAAAAGAAATCTGCCCAAGTATCTTTTAAACAGATAATTCCCAGACATAACTGATATTAAATATTATATTTGATTATATATTGGATTATATGATCCTTGAAGATCTTAGCTTAATACCATGGGTTATTAAAATCAAAGAAAAACTTCCAAGATTTGAGTTCTCGAATTACGAGGTGGTCCATTTCTATCATTATTATCGTAGGTATACATATGTACGTGGGATATTCCAACAAACGAATGAATCAAATATCTCTTTGTACATATGTACCTTAGCTTTATTTACTCGAACCTAATTTGAGATTCGCCAACTCCGAAACTCAATTACAAACCCATGTACAGACATCGCGCTTGGCTTACCTTACCCTTCCTTGCTTCTTGTGGCGACTCAGAATGTGGATAAGGCAGTCGGTTGCCGGCAAAATTTGCAACCAATAAAAATTAATTTACGTTCGATTGCAAAGTTTTCGCCTCGGTCCGAGCGCCGCCACCGACGCGCTGTCGTTGATGACACATAAAATGCCACATTTACGGCCCCTTAAGATCCAACTCTTGTATTTGTTTCTTTGCCTTCACCCCACCCCCCGCCCGCTTCAGTTTCTCAGTCGGTACGAAAATGTTCACTTCGAAAAATGGCCGTCTGCCCGGAGATGGGGGCCAAGCCAGTCACAAACTCTCAAAGTTTGTGCTCATTCTGATCAGTTTGTGTACTTTTTTTTTTTCCTAACCCTAAGACTAACACTAACACTGACAGCCATTGCAGAAATGGCCCTGGAGCACAGTTGGCCAGTTGGCTTAATGCCGCTTATATGTATGCCCCACCGCTTCACCTGGCCACATTCGTTGGCGACTCGTGAAACCTTTCCAGGAATCGGGACCGGCACTGGGACGGGGGACCGCAACACCGCCTGCCGGCTGGCCTGGCGTGGCGTGGCGGCTGATATTGCCTCCAGTCATGCCTGCAGTTCGGCAATTCCACCTTGAACCTCATTGCTTTGAAGTTTTGGTAGTTTGCCTGCCAGAAATTAATATCTCATTTGATACTGATATTCTTGACCGAACCCCAAAAAAGTACTTTAAAAGATAAGCAAAGGTTTTTGAAAGATTGCCTTAACTTTTAGCTAGATTTTAATCTTAAAAATAGTCTCTGAATTACTATATAACTAATAAATAGCCCGATATTCATCTTTCCAAACGAAATAGGTTTAATTTTCTTAATATTTTAATTAATTAAAAAATATGCGAATACGGTTACTCAAGGAAATTACAAGGAAAAGTCCCATAGGCCAAAGCATTCTTAATGAACAATTTAAATTTATAAGATGCCAATATTTCCGTAGGTTAATGCTTTCTAGGCCTTAAAACACTAACCACAACACTTAAATTCTGTATTTGGGAGTGCCCACAATTAATTCTCGAAGTATTCTGTGCTAAGTTTCGAATGTTCCCACCATCCTAACAGGTCATGCCAAATTCGTATCCACAGAAGACCTACATCAACTTCAAAACTCGAAACGGGGCTTTTCGCTTGGGCAAAACGATCTGGAAACATTTTGAAAGGCACCGAAAGGCAAGCTTTCAGCGATACCCAGCCGCAGTCACACAGAAACAAGATTAATATGGGAAAATATAAATTAATTTTGATCGGAATCAGAGTAGCAGGAATACATGCTGAATATGAAGCTCGTTTGGTGCATTATTTGTAGCCTTGATTGGAGAGAAACAGGATTATTCAGACGTAAATTCAATATATTTCCTTATTTTATTGGTGTTTAACATTATTGAAACACTTAATTATTCTAAAGCGTATTTGGTTAGGCTCTAATATCCCCTCCAAACGGGTAGTCAGCGTTGATTCGATGAACTAGCGTCGCGGTGTCTCGTCCAGCAGACCGACAGTGCGACGCAGCTGGTTAACTTCGGCCTGCAGACGGCCAACACTGTTATCGGACGCTTGATGGCTGGCGGCTGCTGCTGCTGCTGGGGCAGGTGCTGTGGGTACTGTTGGTGCGGCGGGCCTGGCTACGGCTCCGGTTCCGGCAAAGGGCACAGCACCCTCAACGCTGGCAATCGAGAAGTCTGGATGAATCTGTGGCGTGGTCACGTGCAGACCTGAGGTGGCTGTCTGAGGGGATTTGCCCGCCATTGTGCCACGGTGGCTGGCAATCATTTTCTTTAGCTTGCTAATAGCCGACTCGCGTTGGGAGTCTATCACCATACGCATGGCTTCCTGGTCGCCCGACATGGCCTTCTCCAGCGAATCGGAGCCCTCGTCGATGAGCACAAAGTTTATCACGTGGGCATGGGTGCCGGGCTTGATGCGATAGATGGGCTTGCCGCCATCGCCGCCACTCGCGTTCGAAATCGATGGAATGTCAACCATTTTGGCCATCTCCCCACCAACCTGAAAGATCGATGTGTGGCCATTGACGAGCACCGGCTTGGGCATCACATACGGCGCCGACACGAATTGCGAGCACTTGCGCTTGGTCTTCTCCACAATGGTGGACACTGTGCATCCCGGTGTATTGCAGCCGCGCGACGCCAAGTCGCCGCCAGAAACGTTCGCCGTGGAGGCTGCACTGTTGCCTGGGGTTCCAGGCAGATTGTTGCTGCTACTTTGCTGCTGCATCTAGGTAAACAAAGGAAATCAATCAGCTATACAGCAGGGCAGCCTTAAACCAGCAACAAACCTTTTTAATTTTATTTTTTTCCAATTTAATTGATTTGCAAAAATTTTAGCGTCGTCCGATATCGATAAAATATACCGAAAATACTCGAAATGGTCTAACGCGTAATGTCAAAACCCCAAAGCGCGTTGTAAAAAATACCAAAAATACTGGCAGCGCAGTGCGCATGTCGATAGACCGATAGGTGACGTTGGCGCGCAAATTGAAAATAGAATTAAAAAATGCAGCCATAGGAAAAAAATAGCAAAACAATACGACTAGTTATAAAATAGTACACGCAAGAAAGGAAATGCTACATTTGTATTCAAGCTCGTAAAAATGTTTTGCCGTGCGTGGGTGCAATGACCACTGATGTGACCTCGAACTGGACGCGTTGAGGCTGAGGAGGCAGCGACACCCGCTTCATTTACATTCCAAGTACTTTAAAAATGGACAGACAACGCGAGTCGTTAAAAGATGCGCTCGCATCCCCAGCGCTCCGACCGCTAAAATGCTGTTTTAGTGCAGCGATTGCGAGTGGAACTGTCCAGCCGCCAGCTTCTTTAATTTCCACTCGTCAATCATCCATCCCAGTCGCTCAAAGCGAAGCTTGGCCCAGCCAGAGCCCCAGCCACAGCCACAGCCAGAGGAGCATCTCGGCCACAATAACCACATCAGAGTTGCAGCCTCATTGTTGGCTCAAATGAAATAATTACTTTAGCATACGGCATACGACTGGCTGGCCGACTGTTTTGCTGTCTGTCTGGATGTCTGGCTGTCTGGCTCTCGACTCTTGACTCTCGCTCTCCGTGTATCTGCGTGCATATGCATCCTTAGTCATGGCCAATATATCGACTCGCATTAACAACGACAACAACAGCATCAGCAGCCGAAGCCGAAGCCGAAGCAGCAGCAGCAGCAGCAGCGGCAGAGGGTAGTGCAATAAAAATCCACCAACACGAGTCCGGGAATAATAAGAAATGAAATGCCATTTATTAAGCATTAATAAGTGCAAGCTTCCACCGGTCCATCCATCCTCCAGATCCTGCATGCACTTGGGACCCATAAGCCCAGGCCCAAGCCCAAGCCCAGGCCCGAGCACACACCCAGCACTCGCATCTGACTCAGCATGCGATGCCCAACGATGCCTGTGGGCCATCCACTCTCCTGCAGCTTCTGCTCCTTCCTGCTCTCTGGCCAGGCCCCTCCTTCAGGCATCCGTCTGCCATCATTTTGGCTATAAACTCTCGTGGGGCAGCAACACACTCGTATGAGGGGAAACAACTTGCATCTGGGGGTGTCAAGATGTTAAAGTAAACTCGCTCCGCTTGATAACATATTCAATTTGTTTGTTCTATCCTGCAGGCCTCGTATGAAGACCTTTTCAAAGGAGGTTTCTTCATTATGGAAGTGCAGCAGCACATCAGATTTTATATAAATATTTCATAATCGTATTCCAGTGCTAGTTTTTCGTATGGCAATCACATCGGAAGTTTGCGTACTTATACTCCGAAATTCTTGATTCCCTTTGATGCCTGTGACTAATCAGAATTCACGACGAGTACCTGAGGCATTCAACAGAAATAAAAAACAATAAAAAGTAGTGAAATTTAAAAGCCGATGGCTTACATACCCTTGCAGATTATTCAAGTTTAAGTAGCTTATGGATTATTTATCTATTCCTTGTGGTTGTCCACTATTCCACAGAAATAAATTTTCAGCGACGGCGTTAAAGTTAAATGACTTTAAATACTTCGCATCTGATGCTCTGCGGGATGCTCTGTTCAAAATGTTATAGTACCCTCTTTAAGGGTATTTAAAAACTGCAAGCGAAAGCAGAGCATCAGCAGCACATGCAGGAGTAAACTTAATTCAGAAATTCGCGCAACATGATGCAATTATGAATTATAAAATTAATATAAAGCTCACTTAACATGCAGGAACGTTGACGGACAGCGGAAATATTTCAGACCCAGACCTGACCACAATATTCTTTTCAATCCCTGCAAATGCCAGCGCTCTTAAGGGCGGTACGGAGTGTGAGTGTGGGCTCAAAATATAATTACAGGGAACGCAACGCAACGCAACGCATGAAGTGCGAGTACGGCGGAGATTGGATTGGAGTGTGTGCAAGAGGCAAATGAATGGCTGCAAAAAGCTCTCAAATCAGCAAAGGGTTTATGTGCATTTCGTGTATTGTTTATTTCAAGGCTGTGCGAGTAGGTTGCTCTTTTCGTATTCAATGCGAGAGAGGTGTAAGTTTTTGATGAACAGTTTTTATTGAATAAACTTTTTATGAGTGCACACAGCACAGCATTATGCATATATCCTGCATAAAACTGTTTGTCATTGAATGACTTATGGCTAAACCTAAAAGACTTATTTATTGATGAAGGAATTTTATGGATTTGAACTACAAGTGGTTAAAAATTAAACTGCTCCATTACCATAGCCTGAAGTATACAATAAAAATGCTGCAACCCAAGATGGGTTGTAGAGTAATTCAATTTCCATTTCCATGCAGTTTATTCTATGTTTGTTTGCTCAATCGTTTGCTCTTGTTCAAAGTGGAATTATAATATAATTAATTAATGTTTTCCACACATTTGTGTGTGCCAGCGGGCGCTGGTAATGATTTCTGTTGTACCTTCACTCGTTTGTACCTGCACTTGGACCTCCTCGACCCTTGTCAATGCTGATCGATTCGGACAGTTGGCAAAGCTCTCTGAGGTTTTGTTTTTGGGCAAGTCATGGACTTTTTACATGGAATTTCGGCGTAATGAGAAAGTATTAGTGGTTGTGCGGGTGGGGCGTGGCCAGTTCAATGAACTTTCGCTTGCCAGACAGCCATGGAGAGTGTGGCACTCTCTCACCTGCAGTTGGCAACCCTTTTTTGCAATTGCGACTACCCTGAGGGGCAGTATGTGGCTCCAATGGGGATGCATCTGCCCATGTCTGGTGCCTGTCTACAACCATAAACGAGTTGTGTCCTCTTACTTTACTTCACTTTATTTTATTTTATTTTTTGTGCTTATTTTGGCAAAAAAAAAATTAAATTCCTCGTCTGCGGCTGCAGCCAACACATGACATTCATTTGGGCAGTAACAGTAGCCCCAGCCACAGGAACAACAACAACAAGCACCAGCAGCAGCAGCAGCAGCAAGATGTGCTTATAATAAAAATGATAAATAAATAAATATGGGACGAAGTTGTAATGCTCTACTGTAACATTAAATGTTTATCATATCAAAATTAAATGCAAAACTAAAGAATTCTATTGTGAAAATTGTATTATACAATTTTGATTAATTTTTGGATAAGGAAAATATTTCTTACAGACATACGATGTGAATCAAACAAACTTTCCTCACTAGAACCTTTTCTTCGACCAATGTACTTGGTGATAGATCTTCCAAAGCTAAGCAAACCCAAGCTAGAGGGCCCATATATAGATTAAGAGTTTGTTGGGCTTAATTGGTGGGCTCCAGGGAGATTTTATCTCCCCCTGAATGCTCAGCATACTCCAGAGCTGGGTAATAGAAATCTCCCAAAACTAAAGTACCCTCTGCAAGGGTATTAAAAGCCTGCAGGCCGGCCCCCCTCGCTGTACTTCAGCTTGATCAAGTGAACAGCAAGGCGAAGACTCCGTTGCGACGGACAGGATAGGACATGCGCGACGTTGTTGTTGTCTGGCAGGTCTGGACGAACACGAACCAAAAGCACAGCGACAACTGCGGCTCCTGCAGCGATGCGCGCATGCGTAGCTGTTAGACACCGACACACACAGCACACACACACACACAAAAGCACTTGCAGAGGGCAGTGGGAACGAAGCGAAAGCGAATGGGCAGCACAAAACGGAGACAAAAGCAGAGAAAAGAGCAAACAAATGTTTCATTTAACCTTGACTTTGAAATTCTCATTGCAAAACTCAAGAATGTACACACTCACACATGCAGTCATACATGTACATATATGTATATATGTACATATTTATGTATATATGTATACTTGTTTTTATTTGCTGCCTTTCCACTTCGCGCCTGACAATTCGTGCTTTTATTTTCGATTTCCTGTTGGAGCTGCAATTTCGGAATTTGGTTACTTATCTCTCTTTCATTTCTCTGCGCCATTCCAGATGAGAGCTAGCCAGGGCACAGCAACAGGTCTTCAAACTGATCTCACAACTTAGAGGAGCGCGCGGCATCACAAGGACCAGGGACAACCACAAGCATCGGGGGTATTGCTCACAGGCCCAGGCAGCTAACTGCAGCACCTCTGTACGCCGTGAGAATTGCGGAACCAACAGGTACGGTGCTACATATTTCAAATAATATTAGTGTGAAAGATTTTCCATATCCAAATAATCTTTACGGGGTTTAAGTTTCTGCCAAAATAAAAAATATTATTATTCAAATATTTAGAAAATCTTTGCTTGGCTTCAGGACATTTTTAACTGAAAGTGCATCGATATATGACTCCTTAATTTATTTCCTAGATAATTGTGTATATTTTATATATTTTGGGCATATATTTCAAAGCATTTGCAATGCAATTCACATCCTTTACAATTAATTCAAAACATATCCAAATCCATTCCACCATCCCACATCTTTTGGTAAGCTTTAACGTGGAATCACTTCAGACATTTAACAAATTTATGCGCTTGTTTATTCAGTAAAGAAGAGCGACTTCTGGTATAAATTTACTGGCTACAATTTCCTGAATTTCCTAGTTGCAAAACGCGAGATTAGTGGCCATGACATCATCATCCATCCTTTAAGCTCAAATGCACTCCTCTATTGTAGCAATGACCCACAAGCAGCGTAGTCCGAGCTCAACTCGCTTTGGCACACCAAAGGCCAGCGCCAAGCCAACCCAACAGCTTCCGTTGCCAGAGCATCCGCTAAATCATTGGCCCCATTAGCAGAGCGCCGGGATACGAGTATACTAAAACGAATCTGGTTCCCCTTTACTCTCCCTGCCATTCCATCCCGTCAGTTCCTCCTACACTAGTTCCTACGCCGGGCCACTCGCGTTGAATGGAATTTGAAAATCGATAAATGGCAATAGCGACGGAAATTGCCGTTGCATGGCAGTTGACACCGTGTTAATGGGCCACTTATAACGGCATTGTTAGCGCTGCTTGCATATGGGTCTCCCTAGTCCCGTCCCCTCCCGTCACTGCTGCTCCCTGCTGCAGCGGTGGAGCAGCAGGAGCAGAAGCAGAAGCAGCTGCCATTCAGGCCAAACGACACGTGCCATGTTCCAAAGGCATGAATTATAAGCTGCTGCTGGCCCCGTTGGATCCCTTCGCAGCCTTAAACGACGCGGCGGTGTTCGTTCGGCTGAGCTGTTGCTAATTAAATTTAATTTAAAACAAAGCTCGGCATTTCGTCAACGCTTTGGCAGTGGGCAACGAACGGCAACCCTAACTCATAATTGACGACTCCTGGTGGCAAGGGAACAATGTCTTAAATTACCACAGAGACTGACCAGCCAAGGGCTCCTCCTGGGCCGCCGCTTAAATTAGATGCAATAAAAAATGTTAGACTGAGCAGAGCAGAGCGGATCGCATCGCAGAGGTGTGGATCGCTGAGATGTGGGCAAGCAAGGATGTGGACGATGCTAAGGATATGTGGACGGTGCCCATGGGGCCAGGAGAGTCAAGAGCGGATACGGCGCCGTAGCGCTAAGTACCGAGACATGTTCTTGGCTTGTATTTTGTTTGCCTTTGGTGTTTTTTTCTGTTTGTGTATCTGTTCGGGCTCCTCCTACTCGGCCACAGGAGCAGGACCCGAGCAAAGAGCAGCTGGGTCTAAGCGCAGGCAGGTGGCTCGAGCCAATTCCGATTAAAAGCCAATGCCAATGCCTAAAAAACAAAGGCAGAGTAAACATTGAGAGCTGTGGAAGGAAGGAGAAGTCAGAGAAGATATTTGAATCTAAGTGGGGAAGATCTCAAGTTCCTTTTTATTCGACTCTGCTAAAGCTTACATTCTGTTTAGTATTGAAAGGGGAATATTCTATCCCTGGCAGAGCTAAACTTCCTGCACAGAAGACATCCTTGAATACCAATTATCCCTGTCCGTTGGAGCCAATATATTATCCATTGATCTCCCCGAGTCGAGTGCATCTTCAATTGGAGTTCCAGTTAAGATGTATATCTTGGGGCCATGTCTGTCTGGCACACAAGGCCCAAGTATTTGTTTACCGTTAGATGTTGTTGGAGCAATCAAAACGGCTCTCTCCCTGACTCTCTCTCTCGCGCGCTGTTCTCTGCTCACTTGTGTGCCCCACTTTGAAGGCCAGCGGCAGGCAGCGGCACCAAACCCTATGATTAAAATTTAGGTCTGATACTGCGCCGTGGCTCCAAAAACAGGGGCAGGCGGACCGGATCATCATGTGCATGCGCGTAATTGCCCATCCCATCCCAATACAGCGATCCTTCTCAAATTAAAGTTTACTCCGCTGCCCAGGGGGGATGAATATAAAAATACCTGCGAGCTGACACACAACTTAGATTCAAAACAATATCAAGTTGATGGAAGGGGGAGACTTTAACGGTTTATATTCATCAATATATACATATATATACAAATTGTTTACTAATGCTTCAATTACGTGCACACAAATATTTTTTAGTGCACTTTGATCTGCAGTTTCTTTCGCTGCTAGTAGTAGTAGATGCTTTAGTAGATGCTTTAAATGGGAGATGATTGATAACCTCTCTATAAAATCATACAGCAAGTGAAATCTATCATTGGCACTTATCAAGTACCATTAATAATTCATTAACTGATTCCCAAGTACAACAAATGTAGGATTAACAAGTGCAAACATTTATAGAGAGTTAAATCCCATCACTCATCAAATATATTAGATTGTCAGAGGTTTAATGCAATCCAGCGTGTGGCGAAAATTCTGGCATTAATAAACATTATTTGTTGAACTTTCACTGATTCCCAGAAATGTGAGTTGCTTGATTGCTATGCCAACCATTGAAATCGAAACCCACTCTGTCTATAGTTCCTTTGTACCATTTCATATTTTCAGTTTGTTCCAGGAAAACTGTAATTGTTGTATTTGCATAGGAGCCATAGGACCCATTTGGAGCACAAAACCATTTGATTGGGATTGGGATTGGAGTTCAATTTATGCACTGCATAACACAATTTACGATTGCCTCAGCGCAGGCTCAATTAGAATTTCCATAATAACTGGAGGCAGGTCAAATCTAAGTTATGACATAGACTCGCAATAAATTCACCAAATATATTCATATTTTGGGGCGCAGCTAAGAATTGCAGTTAACGGAAACCTGCTTAGACGAAGGAACAGGATTTTCGGTCATGTTCCACGGTGGGATTATATATACACATACATATATTTGATGATATACAGAAACTACAAACATATGTACAACATAAACTCTTTTCAACATTTTGGTAGCTTCTTGATCATCGCAATTTAATTTGAATAAATTATTTTGCCGCCTTAGCATATTCTAGTATTTGTTATCTAGTATTTGGAGAGTACGGTAAATACTAAATGTTGCAACGAGCAAATAAATGTTGCGAATTTCGTAAATTCGAAGATGTTGCGCAGCACATTCTTCCTTTGATGTGCGCTAGAGGGCGCGTTGGTGATCGGTTACAAACAAATGTCATCGAACTATCGAATTTTGAATTTAAAATTGCTCCTTTATCTGTATAGAAAACTGAAATTCGTTTTTTCAATATGGAAAACAATAAAAAATTTTGTGCGGATATATATACATATATTCTGTCGAAAGTATTTTTGGGCTAGAGCGGAAATTGCAAAAAAAGGTCACTGAAGACTTAAGAAATAATGGATTAAAAATCAAAATCTCAACAAAAATGTGTATGAATTGTAGGTTACTGACCAATTAACACTTTTCCAATCACCTTCACACAGCAATAAAAAGATTGGCTGGCAACTGTCTAGAATTGAAGTCAACCTCTTCCCCAGTCCCCCCCAAGCCCCAAAATTCCAGCACCATTAAGCACCCACGATCGGACTTTGCTTTGCAGTTTTCTGCGATGCATTTGCAAACTGCTAAAGTGATAAATTGCAGGAAAACTGCAGACTTTCAGTTTGCCCGAAGAACCCAAACCCTATAAAGCGCAGCCCTTGGGCAAAGCCAAGTATCAGTTGAGAGACCAGACCCAATGTACACCATGAAGACCGTCGCTTTCCTCGTTGTCGTGTTCGCGGCCTTCGCCTGCGCCTCCTGCTCGAGCTCCTATGCAGCTCCGGCCGCATCCTCGGTGCCAGCGCCACCGTGCCCCAAGAACTACCTGTTCAGCTGCCAGCCCAACCTGGTGCCCGCACCTTGTGCCCAGCCGGCGGCCGCCTACGGATCGACAGGTGCCTACACGGAGCAGGTGCCCTCCTACATTGGATTCGCGCCCTACCAGCAGATGCAGCAGTACCATCAGCGCATCGGCAATGCGGCGCTGATCGATGAGCTGCGCAGCCTGGGACAGGGCATCCAGGGCCAGCAGTACTAAACGGAGGCGAGGCCCAGACCATTCCTGAAATACGAGTAGCTTACTTTACTAGCTTAGAAAATGCTTACATTAGATCTTCAACAATATACAATATACAATCTCCTGCATCGATAAAAACATTTCCCTTGCATTGATTCTCCCTACACATTCTCAATTGGTTCTCTCTGATCCGATCCCCGATTTGGTGCTGGCTGGGGGGGTGCTCGGGGGCTCGGGCTCTCTCGCATTGGTTTGTTTTGTCAATGGATGCGGTGCGGGTGCCAAAAAATATTGTCAGTCGAAATTGTTGTCTTCTCTGTGGTCGGTCTCGGTCGCTTCGGGTCCGCTCTAAACTGGTCTATATATCCAAGTGGATCCTATACATATATATATGTTCATATAGATCCGCATTCATTACGACTCGCATTTTGTGCATATTTCCAGTATTTGTTGCCATTGCTCGGATGGTGTGTGGCAAGTGCTTCTCAATCGTTGCCATGTGTCCGGCTCTGTCTCTGGCTCCCGGCCCAGCATGACCCAATTCTTGTCGCGTGTGTGTGAGTGTGAGTGTCTTGGGCATTTAACGATTGCCATTAAGGCACTTGGCCATAGCGCCTGAGTGTTTGTTTATATTGCCTCGCGACCGCAGAGCGATTCCAAAAATGATTGCATAATTTATTTGGGGACAATTCGCAATTGGCGCGCGGTACAAGTGAAAAGTGACCCACTCCACTCGGTGGCGTTCTGATTCTGATTGTTATTCGATAGTGATTTTGTGTGAGTGATTCGAGGCAGCCATGAAGAAACTGCACCTGGGGGCCAAACACAAGGCCAAGTCCTACAAGCCTTTTCGGAATAACAAAAATCGTCGGGTAAGAAAATTGCATTGAAACTGATCGTTTGTTGTTGGAAAACCTATTAACTTTTTGGATCCCCATTTATCCATCCCCAACACCACAACACACACACACACCCGTATCTGTGCATGTCAATGAGTCGGCCCTGCCCCCGGGCCCGGGCGGAATTTGTATATTTTTATCCACTCGATCGCTCGCCCAGCTATTCGCTGTTCATGGCGATTCATGCACATGTGTATAAATACAGCGTGCATACAGTGCGTTTCATGACTGGGCAGCCCATAGAAGTCTGAATTTGAAGTATCGAAATATGCAAATATTTTTAAATTGCGATTTTATTGAATTAAAATTTATTTTGCTTTGAATTATTTGTCACATTTGTGTGAAAAAACTCGCTGGGGCGAAGCATTGCTGAAATATTTGTGTCAGGGCTAGTACGCCCTATAGATATTTTTTTTCCACCCAAAGGAATTGTTCAATGTTAGCTATAGTCTTCAGCGATAAGTTCAGTGAGCTAAAGTGCCAGAGATTTTTGAAATTAAGTAGTTTCGTTACTGTATTATGCTTATGACTCGCACTGTATAAATACGTATACGTATGTTCGGACGTCTGCTTTCTTCAGTTCCCATGCCTCACACAGATCATTTAGAGAGGCGATCTCATCTCTCACCTCTTACTCATCGTCGGGGCGGAATCCTCCTGCCCGGCATTGTCGCGATTGTCCGTAATGTTGATACTTTTCTGGCACTTGTAAACAATTCTGCGGAGCTTTTGGTTTTCCCTTGATTTTATTTGTTATTTTTATGCGCTCTCTCGAGATATACAAGAAATATTTTATATTTAATAGCACGCTAATGGGAGGATTAAGATGGCAATCCATCGAAATTAATTTGATTTAAGAGTACTGGCAAAGAATGTCTACTATATTAACTTGGAATATATTATCTACTATATTACCAATGGGTATTAGAGCGAAGAAACTCTTCTCCAAGCACCTGAATTATGTTCATAATGCAAATCCAAATCCAAAGCCCTGAACCACCTTGAAACGCTGTCGTTAAGTGGCGGCAGGTGCGGGCTAATTCGCTGACATCCGCGGTCAACGACAGTAAATTTGCTGACCATGAATATATGTATATGTATATTTCCTGGGGCCGAGCAATAAAATAATTGCACTGGAAGCGCAGCACGGAACGTTGACCCCCACCCGCAACACGAACAACAAGAGAAGGCCCCAAAGAGGCGAAGGAATGTCAAAGAGGGGGTAGGGGGTAGGGTATCGATGGCAACCAAAGTTCATTAGTAATTTTTGGGCACTGTTTCAAACTCTGTGTCGTTCGATGGGACTTTTGGGCAATCAGTAAAAGGTAAACAAAGAATCGACCCAAACACTCCCATCTCCCATCTCACCCAAAAATTCCATGGGGAACTACGAGTGCGGATGGGGGCGGGGGTTCAGAGCATGCCTATGTTTTTGCCTTTGAAAAAGTGTAAAGCAAAATTCACATGCGACCCCCGACCTTCTCTACAATCCTGATGCTTGGCCGAAAGGGAAGAGAATCAGCGAAAGAGTACTCAGATAACAGTAAAAGTCCACGCATGTCATTTCTACTGCGCATGCGCTCTCTCTTCCTCATTAATGTCAAACTCTCTCTCACGCTCTCCGCTCGTCTGGAAATAATTTTATGCTCTCAATTCGTGGAGAGTTTTCAAAATTTGCTCTCTTTTCAGTGGAGAAGAGAGTGTTTTTGTGGAGACTTTCCCCTCATTTTCGTGGTGTGAGCAACATGTTGCTGAAAATTTTTCCCATACAAATCAAATGTATCTTACGGGAACGCGTATGGAATGAAGATTCATTGTTGCGTCTACTGCGCATGCGCTCTCTCTCCCTCATTAACATGTCAAACTCTCTCGCTCTCCGCTCGTCTGGAAATAATTTTATGCTCTCTCCCTCTCTCTTCCTGTCATTTGGCGTGTGGTAATTGGAAAGCGGAATGTTTACGTTATAGTATGGGCACAGTGGGACGGCAATAGTAGTAATTTCGCAGTAATGAGCAATAACTAGAATATTAATTTATCTTAATCTAAATTTTAAATTTAAGTACAAGTCTGAATTGCGTCGGTACAACGTATTCTTAACATTCCCGAAAACAGTTTATGTAGAGCAATGTAAAATTCGATTTTGATGGCTAGAATAATTCAAGAATAATCAGTATTTTAAATTTTTTTAAATTTTGCTAATATTGTTAAGCTTAAAATTGCGAATCTTTCTACGTTGTTCAAAATTATTTTCAAAGTCTGTTCTAAAACTTAACATTAAAATCCGTAGCTTTCCTTACCAGTCTTTCGTTCATTAAAATCCCGTGCATACGTAATAGTATGTGTACCATTTATTCGCGTACAAAGATGTAAATACATACAACTGTACATATGTATGTATGTGTGTAACTGTGTCCAACAGCTGTAACCCTTTTGGGGGTTTGTTGCCCGCGGCTGAATGGCGGCGGGGCGGCTGGCTGCCAACAGGTGGACGACTCCCCCTTGTCAGACTTGCCCCTGCCCCTGGCCCGGACTGTCAGTGCGGGCGCTATTGATTTTCTCGACATGACACGACACTGACCAGCGATGACAGCGCGCGCTCATTTTGTTACAGTTTTGTTGCTGGAATAAGCAGCATAACCCAACACAAATAACTCCATGCGCACAGTGGCACCAAATCGCGGAGAGTGCTCTTGAAAACGAATTTGTTTACATGGCCGTGTGGCAGCGTGGAAGAGGCAGATTTACGCACTGGAAGAGAGCGAGAAAAACTCTACACAAAATTCATTTCCCGTGGCGGAAAAACCATTTTCCACATACAGAAACGTTTCAGTTTGGGGCGAATTTCGAATCGAGATAAATGGATGTGAATGGAGTGGAATTTGATTAAAAAGGAGTGACGAAATCGGCAAAAGGGAACAAGTGAAATAGATCCGAAAGTGTATAGAACCGGGAACCGTTGAGAATCGAAGTTATAAAGAAGAAAAACACGGCCACGCTTAACTGAAATCGTTTTTCGCGACCTCTCCCACCAGTAACCTCTGCCACCCCGACCGACCGCCTAACCAACCGCCCGCCCGTCAGCGTTTTCCAGTCCGTTTTGTGCATATACTAGAAAAAGTGATGTGAGCAGAGAGTCGCGACTCGACTGACATAAATTCCTATTTTTAAACTGGCAGAGAAAAGCGAAAAGCGTCGATACGGAATCAATTTGCCCAGACGCTCCAAAATTGCCCCCAAACAATAAAACCAAACAAAGGGAAAAGCACAAGCAGCAGCAGCAGCCAAAAGGAATTCCTTTCCAGTAAAGATTCAGCATTTACAGTTGGTGTACCCCGTTTACACTCGCCTCCCTCGCTTCCTTCCTCACTATCTTACGCACGCACTCACAGTCGCTGTCAGTGTGTGTGTGTGTGTGTGTGTGTCGGTGTCGGTATCCGTGTCGGTAACGGTGACGTTGTCGGTGTTTTTGTACAAGTGTCAGTGTCAGATTGGGCCGGAGGATCTGATGAATAATATTGTTAATCCATCATTGCCAATGTTAATGCAACAAACCCAAAACCAAACTGTGAAACAATAAGTGGAATTAAAACCTTTTTGCTAGAATACATACATATATGTATATTTACAACCCGAAACTCTGACAATTGCCAGTCGGAGTTTGATTCGGAGTGTGTCGCCTTGGAAACATTTGCCTAATCGTGCTGCCATCCATCATCGTCATCATCATCATTATCATCGGAACATCTGCGGTAAATTGCCAGCTGTGGCATTCGCTGGGGAACGCTGTCGTTTCCGCACCCTGTCGTCGCAAATATCATCAAGATATCTTCGTTCGAAGAAGACTACAGGGCTGACAGGCCCATGGTGCAGCGTGCATCATCCTCGGATGCTCCCTCCGTTCAGGGTGGCCAACATCGAGAATCTCGATTTGGCCTTGGATACACGTCTTACCAAAGTGGATACAACAAACTATTCACACAGGTGACAAAAATACCTTTAATTATATTTTATTGCAAGCATTTTCCATGCTCTTACAAATGTATGTAGATGGAAGTTGTACTGTAAGTAATGCCAGTCAAAGTTCTTGCTTGAATTCGAAGAATAATCATTGACTATTCTATCTAAAATGAAGAATTTAACACACATCAATTCTTTTTAATCGAAACTTATGAGTATGAGGCTTAAAAGAGGGATCCAATGAGTTTTCTGAGAGCCAGTAGAGTGGAACACTAAATTTTAAAAGTTAAAAAAAGTATGGGCTAATCAGTCATAAGCTGGGGAAGAGCATACGCCTTACAATATTATGAATATATGAACAAGAGTTCAGGAAGTAAAGAACATTCCAAAAGTACAGGGATTGTAGAAAGTTTCTCCATAAGTTCAATGATCCATATTTACATCTGTATTTACCGATCCTATATGTAAATTTCATATTGGGAAAGTTTCTCTGAAAGTTTTCAACCGACAAAAAACTAGTTCATGCCAAATGTAATATGACCAATCCAATTATAATTATGCTATTTAATTTATTCAATCGAAATTTGACTCATCTTAAATTCAATTGTTGTTTTTCCATTCAATACAGACATACCAGCAATATCTATGCAGTACGTACACAAACTGTTGATTGTTTTTACAAAGAAAAGACATAAAAACAGCCATTGTTGTTTGCATTCCTTTAGCCCCCTTTTTGCATGAGCTGCTGGCATGGGGCCAATTGAATTTGTTTGGGTTTTCAGATGGCTGAGCAAATGAATCTTCCATCAGTTTTTTCTCCATATGACCCGACTAATTTCTATGCTGACCTGGTTTACTTTTGATTTTTTACAGGGTTCTGCCGACTCGAACTACTCACAACCGTCATCCGATCTGTCGCTAGACGAGGAAAAGGAATCGCTTCGGCGAGAAAAGGAACGTCAGGCCTTAAGCCAGTTGGATAAAGCGAGGGTGAGCAATCGAACCGGTACTCCAAAGAAACATAATGATGCCATAAATTAATTGAACAGAGCAAACCAGTGGCGTTCGCTGTGCGAACCAACGTAGCATACGATGGCGCTATCGACGACGATTCGCCCGTACAGGGTGGCGCCGTTTCATTCGAGATCAGGGAGTTCCTGCACATCAAAGAGAAGTATGACAATAACTGGTGGATCGGACGGCTGGTCCGAGAAGGCAGTGATGTGGGCTTCATACCCAGCCCCGCTAAGCTAGACAACATTCGTATGCAGGTTGGTTTTGGTCACTCCCCACTCCCCCTCCACTGAATCCTGATGGAAAGCTAACCCTTTGAATCTCTTGCAGAACCAAACCAGACCCTCAAGACTGTATGGCACAAAGGGCTCGTCGAGCGGCAATTTGGGTGCGGGAGGCCAAGCAGGTGCGGAGCCATCACGAGGTAGCACACCCCCCACACCTGGTATGACACACATTTCATTCTCCTGATTTCTTTTTTGGCGAGGTTTAATTTCGTATCTCTTTGTCGAATCGAATTAATTTCAATCTAATTTATTTTCGCTGTCTTCTATGTAATGTTTACTTTTGTATATCGTCGTCGTCGTCTTCGTCGTCTTTCCCCAATAACGATATTTCCATACAGAAAAGGTCTCTCTCTCTCTCTCTCACTCTCTGCCGAACTTCTCCTACCAGCTCTCTCTCTCTCTCTCTATCTATCTATGTATCTAAATACGAACTGCATCTGAATAGGTAACCGCAGACGGATGCAGAGCCCCCCCAAGCAACTCGCTCTGACTCAGATTCAGACTCTAAGATGATGACAATGTCCATTGTGATTGGAAAAAACCTTTTTATAATTTTCATTTTGAAGCAAACCAAATCTGAGATCTGAAAACAAAAAATGGGCCATTCAAAATTCCCGTAATTTTCGTACATTTTGTGTTTCATCCGTTATATATCATGCGACATTCATAAAGTGCAATTGCAATCTGTATGCTTATTGAGTTCACCGGCAATCCGCTGCTAAATCGACCCACCCCAACAACCCCCCCCACCCAAAGTAATGCAAATGGTCTGTCCTAGAACCCGCATGCAAAAAAAACCGAAACCTTCTACGGATCGGTCTAGACCGCCACACACACACACTCCAAAGTCCGAACACAATAATTATTGAGCTTTCAATCCGTAGAGACCACCAAAATACGTTCCCCCCCACCCAGTTTGTTGACCCCTTTTTTTTATTAAATGCTCCTTTGTTTCATGGACTTGCTTGTGTATTAGCTATAGCCATAGCCATAGCCAAACAGAACACTATTAAATGCACTTAACTCTCTCTTGTCTAACACAAATTTGAAAAAAATATATAAAAAAAACCAATTAACAACCAAATAACAACCACGTTAACCGTTGACACCAACCCAACAACAACGCGACCAAAGATCCCTACAGTACAACACCGCGAAAGAAAAAAACAGGTTTGTCCTTTGTCTCTCATCAGATATTCAGCAAATCAATCATTTCAAACGCAGAATCTCTTGCTAGACAGCTACCTATTTGTGTACAGTGTGGTTCAGGACTATAAAACAGTGGCAGGAACAAAACTACATAAATTAAGGAGAATGTAGGAAATACTACACAAGAAATATGTTGACAAAAAATTCCGTTTTAATTATAAAAAAACTCTACGATATTTTATAACTGAAATCTGTTGATTACTTTACCAGTTCCATAAGGTTTACCCCGCCAACAACTGGCATTAATTGAAAAACTAATAGTTTCAATAGGAGAATTTAGAGAACAATAACTTTGAAACTCTCATTCAGTAAATATCGCAGCTGGCATGAGTTTTATCATTCACTTTTCACAGATGACTAGCTAATTTTCTGAATCCACCACAAATTTAATTCTTCGCCTGTACTAAATGCAGAAGCACTTTAGCCCATTGTAACCAGAATTTTATAATATTCCACCATATATAGCCCCCCTTAGTTAATTAAAATGTATTGTAACCATTTGTAACAAAGTTAAACCAAATACTTTAATGTTTGATTAGGAACGAAGTGTCTGATTAACACGTCTTATATCACTGAAACACACTGTAGCTCTTCTTGTATCAGTATCAGTCCCACGCTTAATGTAATCTGATTAAACATTAACAACAACAAAAACCAAAATAAATAAAACAAAAATGTATCAAATAGAACCTGTATCTAGAAACTGAATCCAAATTAGATATAGAGTTATAGAAAGATATACAGCACTTCATACTCGTCGTATAGCCTTAAGATATACATGCATATATTTTAGGAAGATATCTCACCCTCGAGTTGACATTACAACAGCATTCAACGGTGCGTAGAACGGTTCCAAAAAAAACAATTCAAATTCAAGTTTCAAAATTCAAATTCCAAAACCCAATCAAATCTGCAATAGTCTGACACAATGCCCTGGCACACAAATCCACCCACCCACAAAACCACAGGACACAAAACCACAAAACTGATCAATCACAAGTCACACACAGAGGAAATTACTCTGATAACAAAACTGAAGCACACGAAAAAGAAAAATGTAAATACTAACCACACCAAACACCAAAAACCAAACACGTGTCTCAAGTACCTACTTGTATTTATGATGATACTATTAATTGGCCTAGCAATTCGTACTGATCGATCGTACTGGCTCATACAAATCACAAGCTCGCTCATTCGTTGCCATTATCTCTTCTCGTCCGACCCCCCTGTTTGCCATGATACTAACGATCAGGTGACGAATCAGATTCTGCGGGACAGGGACGTCACGGGAAGACACCACTGGCAACGCCGCCCAACAAGGAGAAGCGCAAGCCGTTCTTCAAGAAGCAGGAAACCGCCAGCCCGTACGATGTGGTGCCATCGATGCGTCCCGTCGTCCTAGTGGGTCCAAGCCTTAAGGGTTACGAAGTAACCGACATGATGCAGAAGGCGCTCTTCGACTTCCTTAAGCACCGTTTCGAGGGTCGCATCATCATTACGCGCGTGATGGCCGACATTTCACTGGCGAAGCGCTCCATCTTGAACAATCCATCAAAGCGGGCCATTATGGAGCGATCGAGCAGTCGCTCCGATAATCTTGGCAAGGTGCAGGAGGAGATCGAGCGCATCTTCGAGCTGGCCCGCTCGCTCCAGTTAGTCGTACTCGATTGTGATACAATCAATCATCCGTCACAATTAGCAAAAACTTCATTAGCGCCAACAGTAGTGTACTTAAAGATTAGTAGTAGTAAGGTGAGTGCTTGCACATAATAAAATTTAAACCATAATCGATAACTAATCGATAACTCTGTATATTGATAGGTTTTACAGCGTTTGATCAAATCACGCGGCAAATCGCAGGCGAAAAACCTCTCCGTTCAAATGGTTGCCGCCGAAAAGTTATCCCAATGTCCACCGGAAATGTTCGATGTAATTCTAGACGAGAACCAACTGGAAGATGCCTGTGAGCACATAGCCGAGTACTTGGAGGTGACTCTACCCATTCGATATTTATCGAAATTATATATAATTAATCGATTTTTGATCGAATGCAGACCTACTGGAAGGCCACACATCCCGACATACGTGCTGTGGCGCCGATAGCCAGACCACTGCCGCAGGAGGCTTCCCCATCGGCGGATGCGGCACGCCTCGGACCAACACCACCAGGTAAAGCCAGCCACAGCCAGCCTGCAGCTCGGGCTCATTCTACGGTCGCATTGCCATACTCATACGCGTATCCCCTAAAAAAAACAAAAAAACAAAAAAACAAAAAAAACTCCCCCTGCCAACACCAGCCAACACCCAAGCCTGTGAAAGCTGTGAAAATTTTAAAGAAAAATCGTTTCGAAAATCAGAATCAAAGATCACACACATTGTCTCACATTGATGCCGCCCCCCCCCCCCTCGATCACCGTTCGTTCGACAATTCAAACAATGAAGATCGGGCCCATTGCACACACATCCATATATACATACATATATTATGCATATGTATATACATATGTATATCCGTATCCGATTCAGATCAGCAGTAAATACAATTTTCATTTGCTTTTCAAACATACTCAACAACACAAAAATATACAAAAATACAATTCTAAAATTTGTCTTTCTCAAATTCAAATTCCCATGACTGTACCGATAACCAATCGATTCTCATTCTGGCTCTCCCTCTCGCTCTGCGCGGCTGCGAGCAGTAGATGGCGAGGAGTTCATCGATGAGCAGGATCCCCGCGGCATGTCGGGGATGACGAGTGGGGAACGCGAGGGTAGCCGGGAGCGTGATCGGGAACGGGATCATGACAGCAGGGAGAGGGAACGCGATCGGGAGCGGGAACGTGACTACTGGGACAGGGAGTTCAACAGAGATCGCAGCTCAAAGGACAGGGAGAGAGATCTGGAGTGGGAGCGGGAGCGGGCGCGCGAGTGGGAGAGAGAGCGAGAAAGAGATTGGGATAGAGAGTTCGATTGGGACCAAGGTAAATTTCCGTTTATACTGTTTTCCCTTATCATTTTACGTTACGTTACGTTTAAACCAGTAAATAAGTATTATCGTATAGCCCACAACAAGAGCCACTCACTGAGATCTCTCAGTTGATCTCTCCAATAGACACCCGTAAATTGTACCCCCAACTCATAGACTTTGTCCCGATTTAAAGGCGTTTTCTGTAGACAGACAACCCCACCATCACTCAGGTTAATGTAGCTTCGGTTGCCCCCCCTGGGTACGCCCCACACCATACATAATCGTTTCACCCCTTCGATTGTATTGTAGTTACAGATCATGGCATACATATATAGTATTTACTGACCCTTTATATATAGTACACACATGCTACAATACATCATACATCTAAGACTACTACTGAATCCTCAACTTTTTGTTTATTTTCATTCTTTTGTGGCAAAACACTTTACAGCCTTCACAGCACGTGACATACCCGGTCCCTTTACAACAATGCTATAAGTCAAAACAAAATCGAAAACAAAAATATGAATTTTAATCGAAATCGAAACTGAAATCAAACAATTACCAAGACCAACACAATTGCAACATCAACAGTACAAATTAAAAGACAAATCAAAATCGAAAACCAATTCAAATGGAAAATGCACCCCAACGACCGAACATCTCCGACGATCTCTACAAGTACAACTATCTCTCTCTCTCTGAACTTCCAATACTACATACTTACCAGAGGTTCCACTCTACTCAGACTCTTCTGCAACTGAGAGGTGTGCACGCACCCAAAAGAAAAACCAAACCCATTTCGAACCACCCAGATTGCCACTAACCTTAGCCCCTTAAGACTTGTCTTTCTCTTTGCTGTTTTGAGTTCTACTATTAACCACAAGACTAACCCTAACCCACAAGACGCACGCAATACTCGTAGTTCTAGTTCTTAACTCCCATCGAAGAACCTTTCAGCGCTTCTCTAAAGCATCTGACATCAAAGTATCGATATCGATCCACTCGAAAAAACACACCCATAAAATTCTTAATTGTGATTTGTACTCGTTTTTTAGTTACTCCGGGCACTGTGCGCCTCTAAACTGCCACCACTGTCCTTCTACTCGATCCCCACACTCTGTCTGGGTGTACTCTTAGATCAGCTCAACGCAACCAAGCTCAGTTATATTACGTATCTATGTGTACTCCCTTGATATATGTCCTATATCCCAATGTTTTTCGGTTCGTGGCTCACCCATGCAAGTTACAAGAAAAAAACCAAACCAAATCATCCTCCAAGTTGCAATCGTTGTTTAGATCTGGTTTAGTGAGTACCACTGACCCCGAGATGTTTTCTTTTGTTCATTTGGTTTTAGTTGAATGTTACTTCCCCAGCCCCACCCCCAACCTAGTCACCCACTCCGATCCGTTTACCAATCCAGTACTGATGCCAGGGATTAAATTTCCCAAGTTGATTTAGATTCCTTTCATGTACATTGATACATGTACTCGTATACTCATGGAATTCCTATGCCATGTCAGAATTTTAATGCATTCCCTAACCAAATGTTTTGTTTATATTTATCATTAACATGTTGCGCTTAAATTTGTTAAGCTCTTAAACTAACTTTAGAACACCCATAACTGCAGACTGTATAGCTGTAACTGTATTCTATTTGTCAGAAATAATATGGTTTGATTAGACTCACATATTTTACGTCTTAAATCGAAAAAGATCTTTTTTTTTTGTGATTAGTTAAGAGTAGTCTTCGTTTCAAAATTAAACCATGAATATAAAAATAGAGAAACAATCTTTCATGGATCAGTAAATCAATCATAAATCATGTATAATTAGAAGTCGAATATTTCAAGTACTTATTTTCATTTATAGCCAGGCCATAACTAAGTGAAATCTGATCGATATATATCCGAAATTCAACAATGTACAAAAGAATATGCAGAACAGTTACTATAATGAATATCCATAGCTTAGTTCAGTAAAACCCTCAAGTCAAATATAAAATTCCTTTTTTAGTTTTAATTTTGATGCCTTTCTCAACTATCCGAATAGTATAGTAACCCCCATTAGCAAAAATGTTGGCTAAGAAAATTCGCACCCTATTGAGGCCAAAAAGCTGGCACGGAGACTTTGCTAACGGTCTCGGCCACCTGCCCCTCCGCCTATTGAAACGTTTGAATGCTTTAGTTTTGGTTATGTTTTTTTTGGTTTTTCGTTACACTGAAACCTGCAGCCTGCCAAGGAACCTTCTAATCGTATTCTGTGTTGACCATTTTGCAGGAGGAAGCAGCTCGTATCACCACACAAGCCGACGGCAGACCACGGCGGGACGCCACCAGGAGCGGGGCGGTGGCGTCGGAGCCGGCGGCTATGAGCGGGACCGCGAACGGGAGCGCTACGAGCGGCGAGAGCGAGACCTCATGCACTACGATCTGAACAGTGACGAGCTGCTGGACGAGCGAAACTTTGAGTATCCGGCGATGCGCAGTGGGCCGAGCGGCGCCTCACACCACGGCCACCTGTCGCGGGGCGGGCGGCTAATGGACGACCAGGAGTTCGAGCGGGAGGAGCCACAGATCAGGATGACCAGCTCACGCTATGGCCCATCGACGAGGATCGACGATCCGCGCGATCTGCCGCGCGATTTGCCACGCGATCTGCCGCGCGATCTGCCGCGCGATCTGCCGCGCGGGGCCGCCGTTGTCGATCGCGATGAATACAGTCCGCACAGAGGTGGTGGGAGTAGTAGGAGAATGCTGAATGCCATGTAGGAATCGTGGATATAGGGGTGGGATCAGATCGATTCGAGAGCGCCAGGTTTAAAGGAAGCACGCGACAATAGTTTTGATCTTGACATGATACACAAACCACAGCCACAACCACCACAACAACTGCCCCAGCCCCAGCCCAGACCCAAGCCCAGGCCACTGCCCCTGTCACAGGTACCCATGAGACCGTTCATTCCGCCTCTGACCCACACCTCCTCCCATCCCGTGCACCCACAGCCGCACGCCAGCGGCCATAGCGGCCATAGCGGCCAGTGGCTGTCCTCCTCATCCTCCTCCCTCGCCCAGACCTCGTTCAGTCAGCCGAGGTCGCGACGCGAACTCTATCCGCTGCGCCACCAGCCCCAGTCCTATCCCCAGGCCCGGCCCCACAGCCTCAGCCACACCCATTCCTATGGGGGCCATCATGCGCCATCCCAATACCGTTACCCAGTCCAGGAGACCTCCTTCGCCCATCCGCCGAGAGCGGCGTCGGCGGCGGGTGCGAGGGGCGATCCTCCATTCAGCAACCCATCCCTGAGCAATGTCGAGGCTGTCACGCATGCCATCCGCAACAAGATCATCTTGGAAGAGGACGAGGAGGATATCCTGAGCACGGATCGGTTCTATTGAAGAGATTTCAGCGCGCTTGAGTCGTCACCCCTTTTGAGCTTTTTTTGGTTCCTACACTTGGAGAGCTGCACAGATCCGAGGAAGAGCAGTGCCAAATCCAATCAAATCCAATCACACTTGTAAATGTTCCATTCGAAGATCAATTTGTTGACACGGAAACAAACACACACACACACACACGAGGGATACATTTAGACGATTTAAAAAGTGAAGTTTAATGATAGAGTGCAGGTTAAAGTGCAAGTAAAAGTAAAGTTTAAAGTTAAAAGTAAAAAGAGTAAAAGTAAAACGAGCAGCCCAATGCCAAGTGGGGCCTTAATGTGTCTTAAATGCTATAGCTAAGTGTAATCAGATTTTATTTAAATATAATATGAATTTAAATTTAAAAAAAATGATCTTAGGTCTAAGCCTAAGATTTAAGCCAGTGACAGCAGCCCGTTCAAACCAGTAGGTGGAGGAGGAAGGAGCATGGAGCATGGGAGCATGGAGCATCCTGCAAGCATTTGTTGATCCAATGGGGAAGGGGTTCGCGTCTCGTATTCGTTATGCAATCGATTGACTAAGTACATGAATAAGTGTCAGCTTTAATAATTTAGTGAACGTGTATTAAGTCTAAGTCAAGCCACACACACCAAAGACACACACCAAACACACACACTGACTCTCAGTTTGACTTTAAACCGATTGAAATCTCTTTAATAGTATCAAATCGATGTCTTATCCCCCAAATCCTCTATCCAAAAATTTGGTATTTCTTCCTCTACTTCTTCCGCTACCTTGGTAATGCTACAATACTAGCCTTTAACTGTCAGTTAGGTGTACTTCCTTCCTTCCTAAATGGGCTTCTCGAAAGTACTTACGAGTACAGTGCGTTGCAAAAGCTAGCAGACAGATGCAACTCTTCAAAAGTATGGAATGCAAAATGTGCTTAATATCCCAAGACATTTCCTGGGGCATTACAACAGGTAACAGGCTTTCTCTTTCCCCTTTCTAGACATAGGTATGCTGACAACTTCAGCTTTGATGAGCTTTAAAATAAACTTAGAAATTCACTTTTGCAACTGTCTTATAGCTTGGAGGCGCACTGTACTCTCAGCTAGATTTTGATTACCCCTAAGCTATAGCAATATTTTCTTCGAACTAGATACCTTGCCACACACCATATCATGCCACACACACACACACACACCTGCCAATCAATGTACGCACAGTTCGCACCGATTTGCAATCCCAATGTGGATCGCTAGCGAACGAACCTTAGCTGGCCACCATTCAGAATCGATTACAGGGAAGGTGGAGAAGGCGATTCTGGATGATGCAGCCATGGGTATAGCGATTTAAACTACCAGTGCCTTAAAAAAAACCATCAAAACGAGTAACACAAGAGCATTCACCAACACCAACACCAGCACCACCACGTCGATGTTCAATGCAGACTTACTTTCATTCACTCACAGATATCCTTATACCATACACATCCGCATCCCCCCATCAGCCACACATACACACACACATACTCAGTCACGCCGCCTCCCACGCTAAAGTCGTATGCGTCAAAATTATTGTTCAAGTATTGTAAGTTACACGTAAAAATGTTGAAGTAAAATCGCTGATCTGGCCCATTCCGAACGAGCACTCCTTTTACAATTCCAACCACCAAAGACAAAATTTTGTGAACCTAGCGCCAAGCAATGATGAAACGCACTGCATTCAAATCGATCGCCACTTGGATAACTAACTAAGCACACCCACAGAACCCAACCCAAAGTCCCGTGACTAAGCTGAATCCTCACTGGGAACTGAGCTGAACGAGAAAAATGGGACACGCATCAGTGGGGTGTGAGGTGTGGGGAGTACTGGAGGGATAGTGGGTGCACTCCTATATGTAGAAGACAGGCCCATGGCCCAGGGCAGAACAAAGCAAAAATCTAGTACTTTTTTATGTAAGAGACTACACACAAAGGTGATATAAGTAAATTTTTGGAGAGTACATTTGAACAGCTACTAAAAATGGAAATTGTTTGAAGGGGAAATGCAAAAAAAAAAAAAAAACAAAGGGAACAAGACTCCAAGATCAGAGTCCTTATGTGCGAATGTATTTCCTTGAGAGCAGTGCCCGCCAGTCCAAAGTTTGGGATCATATGGGTTTGGTTGGGGGGGAGAATTGGTTGGTCCAGGCACTGGGCAGTCGCATTGAATAGAACAGAAATGAGAGGAAAAAAAAAGGAAAACCGAGATTAAACTACGATACGCAAGCACTTCTTGTATAAAGTGGCAAACAAAATTGATCTATGTATTAGCTAAACTTAAATCAATGAAATATTACTTTTTAATATTAGTATAAAGTTGAGGACAAAACCTAGATACGATACGATATCCTCCTCCTCCTCGGCCAGGGAGGAGCGAAATGGAATACTTAAGATTAAAGATCGACTCCATGGCAGACAGTTGATTGCGAGTGTGTACTTAAGAATATTGCACATAATTCACAGAACTGGTATTTCAATATAAATATATACATACATACATATATATATATATATATATAGTATATATATAAAGAAAGATACACGCCCCTATACATAAAGATGAATATACTGATTGATATACATATACATACATAGCGGTGTATGTATGTATGTTCTTACTATAATTAACAAAATTTAAACGGATACAGATAGAGAAATCAGCCGGCATTTTGTAAGCGAAGCAAACCAAATAAAAAAACTAAAAAATTAATGATTAAAAATAAAAAACATAAAACTATAACAAATTGTACCAGATAATGTTCAGTGACATCTGCGAAGCGAACTTTGATGCTGAAACTTTGTCTGATCTCATGGGAAGTTGACTCCTTAACACAAAAAATCTTCTGAAATATATGTAGCCTATTGGATAATGGATTGAGCTAAGAAATTTCCCACAGATATTCCATTAATATTGTAAATTCTTTTGTCTGATCGATCGGCAAAACAAAGTTCCAAAGATCGCTGCGTTATGAAATTTTTGCAAAAGAAAAAACAAAAAAAACAAACAGGTTTGCTTATTAATAAAGAGCAATTTTTTTTGTAATAATCAAATCTTATTTCCAGTTAATATAACGAAAACAAAAACCAAAACCAAAATTAAATTTGTTGACACTCTCAAACACGAAAAAAAACACACACACTCACACACACACACACTGACACACTCAAACGCAAAATTTTATAGCGAAAATACTGAACTATAAAGAGAAAAATACGCCTATATAATTCTATTTAGCAGTAATAACTTCTCTACTTTTTAAACTCACTTTAATAAAAGAAGCAAAAACAATATAATTTTTTTTTTGTAGCTTAAAAAGAAAATTTAAACTGGAAAAAAGTCATGGAAGATTTAAAGCGGGAAAGGAGAGAAAAGTTTGACTAGAGCACCCCTGAGATTTTCCTATTCAATAATTCTTAGACAAACAAACAAAAATATTATGATTAACCAAGCGAAAAACCCCACTCCAAACACGAACACATAGACACACACACACACACACAAACACACACAGAACACAAACTAATTGTGCAAATATCAATCCAAAAATCGAATCCAAATTTATATAAAATATTTTATACATACAAAAACTATACATATTGTAAAAACAAAACAAAAACAAAAAGAAAAAACAGTAACTAAAACAAATCAACAATTTCCAAAACGTTGTATGTAAATAGTTTATGATATTTAAAAATTTGTTATGAAATTATTTAGTTTATTTATTGTACCACCCTATGGAATATCCTCTAAGTTTCCAGCACGCAAGTGCGCGCCTCAGTTTTGTTGGTTCTGTTTTCATTTACCTCATTCAATTGTTGTTCGGAATATGTTTTTGGAAAATACGTAGTTAAATGAAAGCTAAATTGCAAATAAAAGCAAATACAATAAAAATATTGAAACCATGTGCGGATTGTCTAATCAATGGGTAGGGGAATAAACAATGGATATATTGCCAAAATTAATTGGGATATGTACATATTGGGAGGAAAAGTTCTGGACATGTGATGGAGCACCAAAGGCACCACCGAATAATGTTTCCAAAATGTTTTTTAATATTGGGACTATTATTGATAATCTGAAATCCAGTAGTCTACGAAAAACTGTTCAGAGTTTTAATTAAGTGAAGTTAAGAGACTTGCAGTTATATCTTGATTAAAAATCCGTTTATTTTTCATATAAACTTCCAAGTAGATCTTACGAATTATCAGAATATATGTACATAAGTACATATCTATTCTAAAATGCATATTCAGAATACTAGGAATTTTGTGTTTTTGTCTGGTACGAAAAACTGCTCGTAGTCGTACCTGCCATGATGGTGTCTCCAATGGGTTAATCGATGTTTTGCACGCCAAAACGAATTCCCGGTTCGAAGTACCACACACTCACATTCAGTCATATGGGGAAGCGCACCCATGAGTGTGGGCGTGCAAAAAGAGAGCTCCATCAAAGAGCGTCAATTGGCGCTCGCCAGCGCTCTCTTCTCACCGATCCGTTCCAGTCAGAGTGAGTCCCTAAACGGTTATCAACGACATCGACCGCAGTGCATTCCGAGCGCACAGAGTCAGGTTCGATGGCCGTTGGCTCTCGCTCTGGCAGTCATTTAAAAACCGTTTGTCCTCTCGAGCAGATCGCGTGTTGCGGAAGGTTTACTATATCTCTCATTCTAATACAACAATAGACCGGTTGATCCGATATTCCAGCACTTGTTTAGGAAAGTTTAATATGCCGCTAAAAATTAAAAATGTTTTGGTCTGCGATGCAGTGGACAAGTCGTGTGTGGAGCTGCTCCAAGAGCATGGAATTAATGTAAGTTTTCCATGGAATGCAAAAGCAAAAGCAAACAGTAATATGTAAATGTATTCGCATGCATGTACATATGTATGCATGTGTGCACGAGCAGAGACAATCAGCAAGAAATTGCACTTGATTGATTGCACAATTTAATCAAAGTTGTTTACGCATTTCTTTTCGACAAGGTCACATACAAGCTGAAACTCCCAGTGGATGAGCTGTGCAAGGAAGTTAAGGTGAGTTGTTGCCAAGGGATTTTAATACACACTCTTAATCAGATATTCCATGCATACATTGTATGCATTACATATGTATGTAGTTATACAGTATGTGTAAAAAGTGTTTATACATGGGAGCATTCAAAATGTAAATTGTTGCTACCATGCAAATTGTTAGTTAAGCACAAAAAAAGTGACTGAGACAAAGCTTGAAGTTCGCAGTGAAATCCAAATACTCTTTAATAATCCATTTTTTCGAATATTAAATTCTAATTAGAAATATAAAAATGATCAGCTCTAAGCAGCGCAATTATAGATTTTTAGTTATGGACAGTTTTTGTTAGTATCTTGGATCTTTCTCCATAAGTAAAAAATACCTCACATCTTGTCCATAAATTCAGTTAGTTAATTAGTGTTATAAAAAATGTGTCAAAAAATGTAATACTCCTTGAGAGGGTGTACAAATTTATACAAATTTGTAAAAACACTTTCTTGACCCATTGTACAATGTACATGCGGTTGAGATAAATCTATGTAAGTGAAAGCCTCTTAAAAGATTTGACTGCGGGTTAGAGACATAAACGGTTATGCATTACTTCGAAGTAACATAATACATCTGTATGTATTTATTTCGGTAACATAAAGCTCAGTCAAGAAATGCCTGTTACATAAAATCATGCAAGAATGCCGAGCATTTAAGGCAGCTGGTAAATATACCCTTGCAAGGGGAGATCAGATGGTAATCAGATGGCACTCAACCACAACAACTTGTGTTGCCATGGAAGCTATACTACTCATATACTATTACAGCCATCTGATAATAGTGATGCCGACTCGTAAACAATATTTTGCAGTTATGTATATACTTTGCAATACCCCCTGCAAGGGTATTGTAATGTCAAGAACAACAAATTACAATTCATACATACAACCATGTACTAGCACGAGCTTAAGTTTTACTTGTTATCAGCTATTGGCAGAGCGATTATCTGCTCACTCTCTGAACAAACATTTGCACAGACAAAAGTTTTGCAGCTGCAAATTCATTGAAATCTCATGATACTCGAATATATTGTAGTGCCCTCCAAATAATTGGATTTAGGATCCAGCAGTTTAGTTTAAAACATTTTTTTTATTTTTTTATTAAAAAAGTTATTTAATAAAATAACGTCTGCCAATAGCCGAATTATAGTCACATAAAATTCTACTGGAAAGCTGAATGAGCTTAATCTACTTAATTTTTTCTCATTCCAAAAATATAAATTTTCTCGCACCAAATGAGGCCATTAGCCGATGTTTCTTTCAGAAATCAAGAACTGCATTTTAAATTATCATTCAACTGATTTTTTAATCAAAGGATTAATAAAGGTTTTAAGTGTTTTTTACCCAGCTTTTAATAAAAAACAAAAAAAAAAAATAATTTTCCATATATTTTTTAGCGTTGCTCTTTTTCCGCAAACACAATAAATTCAGTCAAGCGTGAAAGTTTAACACGATTTGCATTTACACAAAAATGAATATGTTTGAGTGCATGTTTATGTATGAGTATGTATGTCACACAATTGATCCAATTTAATGCAGGAATCATGCTGGGAAAAATCATCAATTTGCTTGCGCATTTTTTCAGAATTGCGAAATTAATTAGAGAATTTAATCACTAAAATTTCCAAAGTAGTTACTTTTTTAAAGAGAACGAAGAGAAGAGAGATTTTTTTATATATGTACATGTTGTGCAGTATTAAGGTGTTTGCTCTGGCTGAACTCTATCAATATTTTGATAATGAATATGGCACCTATGACACATACAACTTCGAGCAACGAACCCGCCAATTCACAACATAAGATCACAGCGCTAGACATTATTATCGCCACTTTTGTCGGCCCAATCAAATGGTTCTTATCAAGCAAACTACCGATCAGACGATGTTGCCTTAACACATAACAGCATTATCTCAGAGTCGATGCACACAAACATTTGCAGAGCAAGATAAAACACTCCAAGTGCTGCCAGTTGATACGTACACTTGAAACCACAAAGGGCAATCGGAAAAAAACCGATTGCACTATTACTTGGCTACTATTACATGGCTAACATAAATATTGATGTCGACTTTAATTCTTATAATTCTCACATTACCCGCAGAAATATGATGCAGCCATTGTTCGCTCGGATACGAAAATAACCGCGGAAGTTCTAGCCGCTGGTGCTGGCAGCCTGAAAGTTGTGGGCCGTGCCGGAGCCGGCGTTGACAACATCGATGTGCCTGCAGCGACAGCGCATAATGTCGTTGTCCTTAAGTAAGTGCTCCTTAAGCCGTTAGTGCAAGCCCTTGGAGGGATGGTGGTATGCAGGATGTAGAATGGAGGATGGAGCATGGAGTTTGTCGATAGCCCAAAATTATGCGCATTTTCAATCGGCGGATTGGCTCGCTGTCGCTATTCTATTGCAGCCTCCAGACCGGCACTTGGGTGGGTCAATTGACGCCGTTTGACACGCATAATTAAGGGACCCCGAGTGTCGCGAGAAGTGGGAGTCGATGTCACAAGCCACAGCCACATTGCCAAGGATACGGAGCAAAGCGCGAAAATTTGCCATATTTTTTTTCTCCCTTGATTCTTTTATTTGGAAGAACATTTGCATAATGCTGTCTAGTCACAACAAACGCCACCCTGAACCTCCCACCTCCACCTCCAACTCTGACTCCCCCGTACTCCCGTACTCCGCCACTGTCTGTCAGGGCATTTAGGGAATGTTTAACTAAACTCTGAC